GTCCGAGCACAGAGTGGGGAGCTGTCTGTCTGCCCTTCAAGGAGAAACCCTTGTCCTCACTGCTGCCCTAGATGAAAAGAATGTTACTATGAAAAATGGGCCCAGGCCCCTGCCCCAGGCTCCGGAAGCTAACAGAGCCCTCTGCCTACTGTGGACTGGAGGCTCAGGACAGCCCCTTGGACTCCAGGCCTGGTGGTGTGGGGGTAAAGGGGGAGTAGGAAGGACAGTTGGCAAGAAGGCCAGCAGAGATACGTGGTCAGGACTGGAAGGCATCTCTAAGTGACAAGTCTACAACCACACCATCACCAGAAAAAGGGGCCTGACTCTGGGTTTATAAAACTAGTCCCTGCTTCTCCTCTATTAGCCTCAGGTTCATCATCTATTAAATGGAGTAATAAAAACTACCCTCTCCAGGGGTGTTGTGAGGAGTAAATGAGATGATATACACAAAGCACTTAGCACAGTGCTTGCCTGGCACACAGAGAGTGCTCAATAACTGGGAGCTCCTGTATTAGCTGTGCTCTGTTTCCATTGCTGGTCAATGAGTGTCCCTGGAGGTATGTTACGGGGGCTCTGTCCTCAGCAACACTATGGATGGTGGGTGGAGTGAAGCTGCAAGGAGCAGCCTGGATCTAAACTTAGGGAGAGAAAACAGTGGGCAACAGAACCGGCATTCAAAACAATTTCTACAGGCTGGAATAAGCAAGATGACATTGTCCTTCTGTGAGCTCAAAGACATTCACACAAAGCAGAGGGTGGGGGAGAGACCTGACTTGACCCCAGCTCTGCTGAAAAGGATCTGAATGATTTAGTTGATCACAACCTGATGGGAACTAATCATGGGAGAGAAAGGCTCTGGAGCCCAGCAGTCTTAGGCTGCATTAACAGTGTGTCGCGTCCAGACTGGGGGAAATAATAGGTCTATTGTGCTGGCATGGTCAGGCCATATCTGGAATCTTGCACTGCTACACTGACAGGCTGGAATCCGGCCAGGAGGGGGACCAGTCCGGCTTCAGCTCCCAGGTACTTGTGCTAAGCACTTCCTGGGCATTTTCTTGTTTCATACCCAAAGCTACCCTACCAGGGAGTCACTGTTACTATCTCCACTTTACATACAGGGAGGGTAACTGAGTTGCTCAGGACCAGCCATGCAGCTAGTAAACGGAGGAGCCTGAGGCTTTCCCAGATGGGCTCTTCCTGTGCTTGTACCAGAGGAAGACTGAGCATGCACCACTGAACACATATTTATTAGTTTCCTTCTATGAGTCAGATCCCAGCTAGTTTGTGGGGACACAGCAGTGGAAAAAGATGTGGTTCCTGTCTTCCTGGAGCTCATGGTCTGGGGGTGGGGGTCTAAATCACTTGTGATATGGTGTGATGCTACAGGAGTGAAGATTTTAGGGCTGGGACGGATCAGAATCCACCACAGCCAACTCAAGCCTGGGGAAGGGAAGAGACAGAAAGAACAGTGTCACACAGCTCCTGGTGGAGCCATGGGAGGTCAGCCCGTGCCCTTTTCACAGCATCCAACTGTCTCACTTTGGCTCTGTCTGCTCAGCAGTGACCAAGAGCTGTGTGCCAAGATGGGAGCTGCTGGGGCATATGAGGAAGCTTGGTGTGGCCATCCTGGGGTAGCCAGACCTCATCTCTCCTCCCTGCAATCAATCAGAGAGCCTAAGAAAGAAAACAGGAGTGGAAGCACAGCAATCACAGGAACGGGAGAAAGTGGCCTTTGAGATCCCAGCATCCCCTTCACTAATTAGAGCAACTGACCCCCATGCCCCCTCCCCAGCCTCTTGAGTGTCTGGGAAGCCTGGGGGTGATGACCCAGAGGTGGTAGAAAAAGCATGTTTTCTGGATCTGTGTTTGGCAGCTGTTCCAGACTAATGCCCTTCTAGATATCTTCTTTCAAGGACCAGATTACTCAGTTCTCTCTTTTTCAAATCCTTCCTTGATTGTTTCAACCCAGAGTGCCACTGCAGTTTTGTAACATCTCCTAGGGCTTTTTGTTGGAGAAACACATATACCCCATTTAGCGTCCTGGTAATTTTTGCTGAGAGAGAGCAGGGCCGTTAAGAGAGAAGGCTCTGGAAAGGGACAAACCTGCCAGGCCTGGCTTTGCCACATAACAGCTGTTTCACTTCTCTGAGTTTCCATTTCCTCAGCTATAAAATGGGGATGATAATACCGTGCCCATGTCGTTGCCGTGAGGACTGGATGACATCATTTTAAGCACGGAGGAAACTCTCCATAAAAGGCCACTGTTACTATCATGGGGTACTGGGGGGCTGGTCCTGTCTCCTCTGCACACCTTGGGAGCTCCCTGCCAGCAGGGGCAGTGACTGCGATACGTCATCGTTGTCCCCCATTGCCCCGGGCCCCAGAGAAGCCAGTGTTGGGAAGAGGGAATGGTCAGTCTTGGGAGATGCAAGAGGGACATCGATACTGGAAGTGCCAGCGCTACATCCTCCATCCAGGTTTGGAGGAGAGGGAGGCACGACCTGACTCCTGATTTTGGGGGGGGGGGG